ACAATTAATTCTACAGTCCATTAACAAGCTTGCATGAGCAGTCCTTTCACAACACCAATTCTGCTGCTAAAGCAGAAACACGGCAAATTGTCCCTAAGCAGCCTACCGTCACCTCCCCTGCCCCCCAAGAAAACCAAAACCTTAAGCCAGGTTACTCTGAGGGCAACGTGGTAGGCAGCCTGTGGTTCTGGTGGTGTGACCTGCTGCAGGGGAGAAGAGGTGGGACAGAAATGAGCTGGACCAAGAGCAAGCTGCTTCTGCAGTGAGCAATAAAGCGCGTTCTCTGACGAGATGAATACATTGCAGGTGCTGCTGCTCTTGCCCAGTTCTCAAGTTTTCACAGTGAGCAGAGCTGAAGAGGGTGCTCCTGAGAAACACCCGGCAGCTGTGGAAGCCACTGGAGGGATTGGGTCAACACCACCTTCTGGTGAAGGAGCACCGGGCACTCAGGCCTGAGTCGAAGCCCCAAGACAACTGAAGCAGCAAGACAAAGCCTTAGGGACTTTGTGACTGAATTTGGAAAGAAGAGACATGAAAACAAAATGCCAATGACAGGTACATGAAAGTACATGGGCTTGAGAGTGAGCCGGAGAGCACAAGCATATGGATGAGAAAGGCCCACGGAGGTCTGGGTGGTTTGGATGAATATTAACACGTCCCTCAGGAGTAGAAATTGTAGCACCACTGCCCCTAAAGCATTTGTAACCTATGCATTAACCATACATCTGCTGCATTAGACTGAGGCTAGAGGAAAAGATGCTGTAGCCACTTCATCTGCTGCAGGGACAAGGCTCTGAAGACATATTTAAACAGGACTTTCAGGGACATGAGCACAGCTTGTGTGGGAGAGAGGGATGCACTAGTACATAAATTTGGGATAATCCCAAAGAAGAGCTGGGGCTAGTGTCTTTTGAGAACTGGCCACTGGTTAGTGGGAGTACCTTTAGGAAGAAGAGGCTGAAGTGGATCAGTTATGTACCTTTGTCGGATGGAAGAAAAGGGCCAGAAGTTCCAGAGCAAGAGAGAAAAAAAATGGGTATTTGGGATTTCCATAAAATTTAGGCCTGGGCAGGACTAGTCAGCCAAAGCTCTTCATATCAGAGTCTCATCTAGGTGGCCCTGATTTCTCACAAAATCCCATTTTGGCAATTGACCTTCCTTTTTTAAACCTTGTCTCTCACAGTTACCAATTCTGAATGCACCTGGGGGTGGCTCTTTAACCCAGCTGAAGAAGGGTTACCATGCCAAAAGCCTGTGTTTCTAAGTGAAGACTTGAGTCTCGGTTCCTGTGGCCTCCATTTTCAAAGACTCAGTCTAACACATCCTAAATTAACTCACCAGGCAGCAGAGTATGAAATCGGACATGACCGATCGATCCTTGGGCATTGATTCAGAGCGAAACTAATGGAATGTAAAGAAAATGTAAGAATCTATCATACTGTAAAGGGTGCCTATTTAGCCATTTTACAAAATAAAATTTCATTTGGGAGCTGGGTGGTCGTATAAGTTTGAAGAACCAACGAAAACAAGGCATAGGGATGTTGCTGAGTATTGTGGTACAGATCAAGCCTCGAGGGAATGGCTTTGTTAGATGCCGCTGACTAAAATAATTGCATGATAATTTTGGCTAGAGGCACCATCCTATCATCTGATGATTTTTAAACCGTGCATGGATAGTTTAGACTGAGTGATCTTGGCACCCAGCTACAAAGAACCGAGAAGTCCGCTCAGTGTACCGCATCTATGCTTTGGCTCTTGGAAAAAAAAAAGATGTCCTAGCGCTGCCAAAGGAAGGTTTCTGAGCTATAGCAATCGGCAGCGCTGCGTGCTCCTTCTGCAATGCTCTAGGATAGACTAACCAAGAGCTTTCTTCTAAGGTAAGCAGCAGAAAAATAATTCTTCCTAGGGCAGTGTGGAGCAGGCAGGTCCCTGTCAGACTCGGAGCAATGCGAATTAAGTCCAGGAGTATTTGCATCTGAGCATTTAACTTTTTTTTTTTTTTAAGAAATTTAAGATTTAACTCTGCTTTTTCAAATCACAGCTGATGAAAACTTGGCATAAATTTAATATAGGAGTGATTTGAATAGTGGCAAATGATCAACTGAACTTTAAAATAAAGAAGTAACAAAAACAAGAAATCAAGAAACTTCCTCCAAGAGAAATGGTGGATTTCCATCTGGTTCTAACTGATTAAGTGCGTGGATTTTTATTGTTTGAAATAACCATATAAAAATATTTGGACAGACACGGAGGTAGTCAGATGGCATAATGGGAAGTGTCTTAGGCATGTACAATCTATACTAAAATGGTATATTTCTGGTATTCTAAGCTAGTATACTGGAATACTAGAATTTCTAGTACGCTAGTAGACTGGAAATAATGATATCATTGATATTTGAGGTTACATTCTTACAGTAAACTGAAATATGCTGTTACACAGAGCTCAAATAAGACCAGGGAAGGGAAAGATGGAAAAATTGGAAGCACATTGCTATGACAAGGTTGCAAAGTAGTTTTGGCTGATTTCTTAGAAACTCTGGCTTTCATGGCTCTAGACTAACTTCTTTGCTTTATACACAACGTTTACCATATCAATATTCATACTGCGGCTCTACCAGTGCAGATTTGAGGGAAAGTGTCTTGGTATAATTAAGCTCACTTAGGGAGTGGAATTAGACCACTCCTATAATTACTCTTCCCTGTCTGCCATTATAAAGGAAAGATGAGGATAAAGCTGTTTAAATACTGGTAGAAACAACTTAAGAAACAAACACATCTATAGAGCCCAAGTGATATGTTTATACTCCTCTTCCTCTCTTACCCTGAATGGCTATATTCACTTTTTGTTCCAAAACAGGCAATGACAATTCCTACTGCTAGAGGAATGCTAGCTTTTCATCTTTGTGATTAAAACATGTCTCCTTTCCCTTTTATTCCTGCATTTACATTTTAGCATCTCACTTGGGGTGTTTTTTTTCTGGGTTTATCAATTTCAGTGAGGGACCAGCCATTCGCAAGGCAGCAAATGTACCCTAAGCTCCTTTGCTTAACTGTTGTGTTGCCATCATTCAGTCACCTTTCAGGGGAAGCAATACAGAGCAATCAGTAAGTGTCACTCACTCGTACTTGGCCTCTTGAGTACTCCAGGTTTGGGAGCTTTCTCTGTGTAATCCTCTACTACTCACTTTACTGAAGGTGAACTCTTCTGTATCTGCTCTTCCAAGCTCTGAAAAACAGGTTCAATGGTGTTAGCTTGAGACGTAACATGTTCTAGTAAACATTTTCAGCATATGAACATCTTTACACCCACCCAGCCTATGAAGATATCTCCTCGGAATAAAATCCATATGAAGTCTGAAGAAAGATATGACATTGCTCTTTAAAGATGAGGAAAATGGAGTACAATATTTTTTCTTGACTTTTTTTTTCATGTATCTCATTTTATGACATACATGGGAGGGAAGGAGTGGGGAAAGAAGATATTCCAGGTGCATCACAGCACCTAAGAAATTGCTTGACTAGCTAGGTTTCCTCAAGCAGTTCCCTGTGTCAAAAGGGAGGTTCATTGTGAAAATTCAAATTGGCAGAGAAAAAAAACAAATCCCAGAAATAAAATAATAAAGACTGTAGGATGCCTATGCAGAGAATGACTGCACTGTTGGTTACGATTGAAAATCTTCACTAGCGGGGTGGATAAATACAGCCTCCAAGCAGGATTGATCATATCATAAACTATAATCAAGCCATATTGGTAATGGTGACATCACCCAGCTGTGCTATCAGTTAAAATTGTGTAAGATTTTGGGTTCTGCAACCAGCCACTCTTAAAAAGCTTAGAAAACACACTTTATTAAAGGTTGTGGTTTAGTGGAATTTGTGAAGTTTTGCAAGTGCAGTAGCATAAAAATTTAAGTATCTATCTAAGGTAGATATGATCGCAGTTGCTTTCAATATTTTATTACTACTTAGCAGAAAAAATTCCAGGGATACAGCACTGAATGTGCGGTGCATTCACAAATAAACAGACAAATACCTTACATTTAAATTCCGCACATTACCTGGAGCTGCTGAATAGTTTCCAGAGAAACGGCTTGGAAATCAAGCATCTGGCAGCAGAACGTACATCAGTTTGCTGGTGAATCAAAGAACTTCTGGGAAAGAGGTAGTTAAAAAGATCATCTCACACTCACAGCTAAAAACCTCCACATCGCTCCATTACATATTCTCTGTTTTATTTATCTCATATGTTGAAATTTATAATTAAGACAAAGTCTTGGTGATTCAGTAAGACTTGAAATGCATAAAATTAAAGATATTAATCCTAGTAAGCACTCTTAGTTTATTAACATTATCCTAGAACTGAGACTATTTATACATGCACAGCTATGTGTAAATTAGGTCTGTATTTGTATTTTTAGGAATCCATGGGAGAAACTTGGGAAAATATTGGATGGATGGCACAAATAATGGCACTATTATCTTAGTGTACAAAATGAAACATTTTTCTGTCACAGTTATAGGATATATCTCAAGACTTTATCAAACAAATGAAAGCCATGAGCATTATATATTATTTTAGTTGTTTTTCACCCAAAACTATGGCACAGCCACAGACAGTGGAATGGAGTGGGTGTAGAATTAAACTATACTTGGCAAAGGATTTGCAAAGTGAAAAAAAAGTCTTCTTTCCTAGTGGGAAGAAAATAGGGTAAAACTGTAGGCAGTTAAGAAGTATTGTGGCTTACAGCTGAAATCAATCTCTCTTAAGCTTAAAATGATCTCACATTTGCATCTTTTACCAGTAATCATAAAGTCTGCCTTCATTTATAGACCCATTAAGTAGAAAATAACGATGAACTTCTAAGAGCTCTCCTGCTATCACAATAATGTATATGAAAGATGCTTTAAAAAAAAATAATAAAAAGGCCATTTCCAAAAGAAATCCAGTATTGTATTAAAATAATATCCTTTTTTTCTCTTTCAGATATGAACTTCTGACCATGGGGGACTGGAACCTTTTGGGCAGCATCCTTGAAGAAGTGCACATCCACTCCACCATAGTTGGCAAAATCTGGCTCACAATCCTGTTCATATTCCGGATGCTAGTGCTGGGAGTGGCCGCCGAAGATGTCTGGGATGATGAGCAGTCTGAGTTCATCTGCAACACAGAGCAACCCGGCTGCAGCAATATCTGTTATGACAAAGCCTTCCCCATCTCTTTGATCAGATACTGGGTATTGCAGATTATATTTGTCTCTTCTCCATCTCTAGTCTACATGGGCCATGCACTCTATAGGTTAAGGGCTCTCGAAAAAGAGCGACAGAAGAGGAAAGCCCACCTGCGGGCTCAGCTAGAAGATCTGGAGCCCATACCCGAGGAACATAGGAGAGTGGAGAGAGAACTGCGTAAGCTGGAAGAACAGAAGAAAGTGAATAAGGCACCCCTGAGAGGGTCCCTGCTGCGCACCTATGTCCTACATATCCTGACCCGGTCGGTGGTTGAAGTGGGCTTTATGATAGGTCAGTATCTTTTATATGGGTTTCACATGTCCCCCCTTTACAAATGCACTCGGCCCCCTTGCCCTAACACGGTGGATTGTTTTGTGTCCCGACCCACAGAGAAGACCATCTTTATGGTTTTCATGAACAGCATCGCCGCGGTCTCCCTGTTCCTCAACATCCTAGAAATCGCCCACCTGGGCCTCAAGAAGATCCAGAAGAGCCTCTACGGGCGGC